CACACATGACCGCCGTTTAGCTCATGGTCCGAGAGGAAGTCCACACAACAAAACAAGTTCAAGAAGCCTAAATGTTAACCGCAGGGGGTTAAGTAAGTTCAACGCTGACAACCGCGATCTTCAGGTGCGGTTCCTAAGGGAAAGAGAAGTCATTGGAGGCCAGAGTGGTAGGAAGAATTAATACTGTACAGAGGAAATGAAGAATAGGTAAGAGGCATTTGACTGTCAGACGAATGAGCAACCACCAGCCACAGCGCCACGTTTTAAGTGAGGTGACTGCGGGAATCGTTGCAGCGTCTGAAGCTACTTTTGTGTGAGTCGGCCTTGATAGGTGATTAGTCAGATGTATTGGCTAGATGGACAGGCAAAGGCGACCAGTGCATGTGTACTCGTTAGCGCCGGCGAACCTTGGCACATGCTTGTCTGTGCGGAGTGACTCACCCCATGTTCACTGACTGCTCTGCCAATCGCTTAATTAATGAGCCTCCCATATATCTGGGTTTACGAACCATCCTGAGTGAGAGAGAGAGAGTCGTGGTCTTCAATTAGCTCTGTGGTCAACCAGGGGCGGAGGGGACTCAAGTTAGGCAGTAGCCCCTCCAAAGTCGGTATTAATGGGCTATCTAGCCAATTGTGTCATCGAACGAGAGCTGTGCACAGAGATTTGTGGCCAAATAACTACTCAACAAGTCAGAGCTCCAAACAACCTCTCGTTCTCTGCTATTAATGAAATCAGCGACGACCAACCCTCGGGTGCGTAAGACGCTTTGATAAATCACCTTCCTCTCAACTGCCTCACTCAAAAACTGCTCAGCCAGCTGCTACATTCATTTGCGTTTCAACCTATCTGGGTTTACGAAGCTTCCTGAGTGGAAGGCAGTTATAGCGCGAACCAATCGGGATCTCCACTCATCTCCGCCGTCAACGGGGGTAGGGGCCACCTGGGTCACAAAGAAATACGGTTCCGATGCAGTCGGAATCAAATCGAATGCGCCATGTACGGAGAGCTGTGTGCATGCGTTGCCAGCCTCTGAGGCTGGGTAAGCGTGTAGCCGACTTCAAACCTTGCTTTGTCCAGCGTCCTTGTTCAAGGCCAGCTGCCTCAAGGTCATCCACTA